ATGTTGGTGGCTTTCTGCATATGGACTGTTCTTAAGAGACAAACTGTTTGTGCTCCACAGTTCAGATTTGATTTAGCATGACCCTTCCCTGTCCTCTCCTTGAGTGCTTTTCAGATGAAAGCAAAAGAAAACTAAGACAACAATTCACACCAAATGTCTTCTATATTGACATCTCTCCTTACTTCACCCTTCACTGCAAATTTTAAGAAATATCACACTTGAGAGGCATTGAATTGCCAGTAAACTGGATATACAGTATATACACATCTATAATCCATAACTGATGTTAAATATCCAAACATTGTTTTGTTTTTTTAATCAAACCACTATTATTGTTTCTAGTGACCTACACCAGGATCTAGAGTATAAGCAATCACCTCACTTCTTGACAGCCCTTGTTTTTTACATTAAAGGAGAAGTATATAATTTCTGCACAACTAGCAGCACCAAATAGAATTGCTATCTGAAGCCTACACCCCACCTGCCGCTCAAACTCAAACACTGTTGTTATTTCAGCTTGATGATCTAATGTTTTTATTGCCATTTTCAATCTTCTTTGAGTAGTTCCTGAATGCAATGGTCCAGCTTTGAAGACCCATACATTAGCGCAGCAAATTCAGGCACAGATGACGTGTGTGGTTAATACATTTGGGCTGCATACAGACAGTCCGCACAGATGGGAATGTTTGAAACTTCTTTGAGAACTTTTTCAATCATTGTTTTCATCAAGCTCTCTTTTTTTCCAATTCTGTTTGGTGCCACTAGTGGTGCAGCAACTAGTGGCACCAAACACTTCCTCTTTAAGAAAATAATACTTCAGTAGACCTTCAGGCAACCACAATTCTGCCTTAACACTGATAAAATATTGAACATAAACATTATTTTGATTTAAGGCTTGTTTACACGTTCTCCATTATCTATGAGTGGCATTACCACATGCTGCAGGCCAAATCACTTTTTTTTGTTTAACGAATCACTCAAATTTGAGTGTAATTCAAGGTGAAATGTTGTTGCATATTTTATGATTCACCCTTGATATATGTGTCTGTAAGGCATCCAGCATCCCACCAAAAATCAGTCATATGCCTTCAGCATCAGGCCAAATACATCTTTTCAGTCTTTATCAAGAGCAGCAGAGCACAAGAGCCTAATTCACATGTGCCAGTGTTCATTAAATCAAAGAGCAGGTATTAGGCCCTCTCAGACCGCACAGTTAGTGTGCTGGAATAAGGGGGCTGACTTAAAGGATAAAGGCATACAGAGTGTTTTGGAGTATTTGGATTTGATTTTCCTCAGGGATAACATTATCCTTGTCAGATTTATTCCTCTGATCAGTCAGCACTATTGGACTCCCAACGTGCATTTTATCTCTTGTTTTCACCTCATCTTTAATCCTTTATTCCTCTCTCTCCTTTTTTCCCACCCCTCCCGTTCTTTATCTTTCTTGTTTTTTCTTTCTTTTTCTGCAGTGGTGTCGGTGTCATATTGCAGTCAGAAGATGTTGCTGGCTTGTAGAGTGCCGCAAGTGTTGCATCTCTGAACCGCTACTTCCTGCTGCAGTACCATTTACGGCAGCTCATTTTTCAGCTCATTCA